GGAACTGAGCAAGGCTAGATGGCTCTCTTTCCAGTGTTCAACAAAGAAAAAGTAAAGGGGGGGGAGGGGAAAAGTGAAAAGTGGGCTCAAACTGTCAACCCCTTCCCCTCACAGAAGGCTATCACAGAGCTGCCTCCTCCCTTAAGAGGGCACCACTCAGAAAAATTGAAAGAATCTCTTGCCTTTTTTGTCAGAAACAACCATCCCTCAGTACATACAGAACAATACAATGCCAAAAGTACCTCACAAAAGCAGATGCCCTGCCAAAACGAGAAAATTCAAAAAGCTAACAAATTGGTTACAGCAAGAAAGCCATTTAAACAGTAACCAACTATATTATGAAAAAGACATTAAAATACAACATTTTGTTGCCGATCCCCACTGGTAATTACTCTAGTTTTCACCACCATCTTCACTCCCCTTCCACAAAAGGGGGGGGGGATCACAATCCTGCCTTCAATACCCATGCCACCTATTATTATGAACATGGAGGATGGAAGCATGCTCACTTGCTCGTGAACCATCTATATGTGAAGAAAATTCATAGTAGGCAGCCTACCTAGGGATCAGTGATTACAAGTTATATGGAATAGACCATGGTATCAGTATTCAAGCAAATGAACAATGCCAACATGGGGATATGGGGGACTGCCTTGAAGTAGCTTGTCTCCTTTCGCCATGGTCAGGGACAGAGGGGGGCACTTGGGGAGATGGTTTCTCCGCTTTACCCTATGGTATGCAGCATCCCTCAGGGGGCGATCCTCTCCCCAATGTTATTAACATCTATATGCACTGCCTTGCCCAGTTGGTCTGGGGGTTTGGGTTGGGTTGTCACCAGTATGCTGATGACACCCAGCTGTATCTGTTATTTGTCTTTCTGATTTTAAATTTATTATTATTATTTATTTAATTTATACCCCACCCTATCCCAGAAGTGGGCTCTGGGCGGCTTACAACATAAAATCCATAAAACAATAAAAACAATGAAACAGTAGTTGTCACGATGAACCATAATAACAAACCCCATCAGATGAATATAGGTAAAACAGCAAGGCACTGGGAAGAGACCATAAACAGGGAAGGCCAGAATGATTGAACACCCGCTGCCTTCCATGAAAAGCCTGGTGGAACAGCTCCATTGTACAGGCCCTGTGGAACTGTAATAAGTCCTGCAGGGCCTTTATCTTGGGTGGGAGCATGTTCCACCAGGTTTGGGCAAGGGCCGAAAAAGCCTTGCCGTGGTTGAGGCTAAGTGGATGTCCCTTGGGCTAGGGATCACCAGGAGGTGTTGATCAAAAGAGTGTAAAGCTCTCCGGGGCTCATATAGGGTCAGGCAGTCCTGTAGGTATGATGGTCCCAGGCTGTATAGGGCTTTAAAGGTCAAGAGCATAACCCTGAACCGGGTCTGATATTTGATAGGCAGGCAGTGCAGCTGGCGCAACACTGGCTGAATATGCTCCCGTGAAGGCATCATCAGCAAGCGTGCCGCCACATTCTGCACTGGCTGCAATTTCCAGATCAGGCACAAGGTTAGTCTTGTGTAGAGTGAGTTACAGTAATCCAACCTGGAAGTGACCATTGCATGGATCACTGTAGCTATGTCCTCAGGGGCAAGATAGGAAACCAATTGCCTGAGGTGATAAAAGGCCAATCTGGCAGCCAAAGTGACCTGGGCATCCATAGTAAGTGAGGGATCCAGCATCACCCTGAGACTCCTTACCTGTGGCACTGGCACCAATGGTGCCCCACTGATGACTTGGAGCCTGATCCCAGATCCCAGTACCCCACAACTCAGGTGCAGGACCACTGTCTTCACTGGATTCAACTTCAGCCAGCTCTGCTGCAACCATCCAGCCACGGCCTCTAATGCCCTGTCCAAAATTTCTGGGGTGGCGTCTGCCCATCCATCCATCAACAGATGTTTTGACCAGGGCTTTAGAGGCTGTGGCTGGGAATCCAATTCCCAACCCTTGGCAGGTCTCCATTAATGCCAGTGCTAATGGTGAGGAGTTTAGGTGAGATCTTGGATGCCTTGCTTTCAATAGATGCCCAAACCACAAATGTTGCCAATCAGCCTTTTACCATCTTTGGCTGATCAGGCAACTGATTCTCTATCTCTCCTACCACAACTTAGCCATGGTGATCCATGCAATGGTGACCTCCAGACTGGATTATTGTAACTTGCTCTATGCTGGGCTGCCCTTGACTCTGACTCAGAAACTTCAGCCGGTGCAAAATGCGGCAGCGCATCTCCAGACAGGGATATCTCTAGCTCAAATACAGCTAGTGCACCCGACTCAGAAACTTCAGCCGGTGCAAAATGCAGCAGCGCATCTCCTGACAGGGATATCTCTGAGAGCTCATATACAGCTAGTGCTCCCCCAGCTGCATTGGCTCCCAGTTGAGTACTGGATCAGGTTCAAGGTTATAGTATTAACCTTTAAAGCCCTGTGTGCTCTGGGACCAACATAACTGCAGGACCATCTCTTCCAATACATCCACCAAAGAGCTTTACATTAATCAGAACAACATCTTCTGATGATCCCTGGCCCAAAAGACATCTGCTTAGCCTCAACCAGGGCCAGAGCCTTTCTTGTGGAACACCTTCCCAAGCTTATTACAGTTTTGGTGGAACACCCTCTCAGGCTTATTACAGTTCCGCAGGGCCTGTACAATGGGGTTGTTCCATCAGGCCTGTGGTTGAGGCAGCCGGTGTCCAATTACATCGGCCTCCCCTGCTCCACCGCACCCCTTTCTGTTTGCATTATGTCAACTTATGCCATCAGTGGTCACTGATGCCCACTTGCTCAACACTTGATCCATCTTGGGCAAGAATATAGGGCTCATCCGGGAGTTTTTGTCAGTCTATTTTGCCATCTTATGGCATTACATTATTGGGGTTTTATTTGGACTAAATTATAATTGTTTTTAATTGCTTTATTTTTGTTGTAACCCGCCCTGATCCCACGTGGGGGGAGGGTGGGATAGAAATTCAATAAATGAAATGAAATGAAAAAGGGGAAGGGAGAACTTTGAACTTTTTCAAGGGATGGGATAAAAACGTGTAGGTAAATAATTTTAGTTCTTTCTGTATCAAGGGGAAGCTAATATACGTTTGTTATTGACCATGTCCCTTCATTAGTACTTCAAATCAATTGCAGATTGCATGCATACACCTTCAGCTCAACTGGGATTGGAAAACCTGATTTTGAAAAGGAGATTTTAATGAAATAAGGCCAGCACTAGATATTGAGTAACATTTGTAGTAGCAATGTGTTTTGATGTTCAGTCATACTTTCTCTAGCAAAAGTCCCATGAAAATAATACAGTCTTCAGTAGCATATCTATTTGAAATGTAATAGCATTGCCTCGTACATTGAGAGAACCAAGACAAAAATATATCACCTAAAACAATCAATCACTTTCAGTTGAGTGTAACAAAAAAATTATATTCTAGCACATAGACTGGCCTTCCCCAAATCATGAACTCCGATGTGCTTTATTTTTTAAGCAGCTTTCCTTTTTTTAATGAAGCAATTGAGTTACATTTAAAGGTGGTCATTACATGTATTTCCTATGTCAGAAAATAATTCTTAGCTTTATAGCTTTGAAGTGAACAGGAGTGAATAGATAGATAGCCGTTGTTAATTGTTTAGGCCATGGACCGTCACAATAAAGCTGTTAGCAAAATAATGCTACAGCATTATAGGACATAATACTAAAGCATAAGCCTGCTTAAACATTTAATGGTTCCCAAGCAATCAGCTTAGGAACAAGTTTGCCCATATCTGGGCTCACAGATAAGGTGGAACTAAGGTGGCCACCAACTGCCTACCTGTGCTGGTTCATACAAATGATCTGCTTGCTCAAAACCAGGCATATGTGGTAGGGAACATTTGGTATCATATGCAAAACAAACAAACTAAAAAAACCCAACCCACAACAGAGAAAGCATAAAAGGTCTATAGCACAAATTCTACTACAAGTCCAACATACATAAGAGATCATTCCCATGCCTATGTTTTGTGGTACCCATTAGGGCTGCCAACTCTAGCTTTGGAAACTCCTAGAGATTTGGGGTGGTGTCTGGAGAGGGTGGAGCTTGGGGAAGGCAGAGGTGTGATGCCATAAATTCTGCCCTCCAAAGCTGTCCTTTCTTCTAGGGAAAAATGTTCTCTGTAGTCTGGAGATCCAGGAGAGCTCCAGGCCCCACCTGAAGGTTGGCAACCCTGTATATATCTTATCTAATGTAACCTCTTAATTTTGCCATCTATCCCATAAGGATACAGAGAAGGGAAACCCCATTAGCTTCCCTCAAATGTGGAATTCACAAGTATAACTATGGTGCTGGAGGAGACTCTTGAGAGTCCCTTGGACTGCAAGAAGAACAAATCAGTCAATCCTCAAAGAAATCAACCCTGACTGTTCCCTGGAAGGCCAGATAATGAAACTGAAGCTCAAATACTTTGGCCACCAAATGAGAAGGGAGCACTCACTGGAGAAGACCCTGATGCTGGGAAAGATTGAAGGTCAAAGAAGACGGGGACGGCAAAGGATGAGATGGTTAGACAGTGTCAGCGATGCAACGAACATGAAATTGAGCCAACTTCGGAGGACGGCGGAAGACAGGAGAGCCTGGCGGGAGATTGTCCATGGGGTCGCGAAGAGTCGGACTCGACTGTGCGACTGAACAACAACAAAGAAGTATGTTCCATTCTATTCCATGGAGCTTACTCCCAGGAAAAGGTTTTTATGGTTGCAACCCGTATGCTTAGAATAGTGTGAATTGTAAATCAACTAAGTAAATAATAATAACAAATAAATAAATAAAACAAGAGTAAGAAGTGAGAGAAAGGTATCCTTGGAGGCACTAGAGCTCTTTCTTCATGTTTCTGAACATAGCCACCTATGCTCACACACTAATGGAGACTACTGTATTTGGGTTCAGGTGTGTCTAGCATGTTGCATATTAATTTTAAAGGAAAGAAATGGCCACTTACCAGCTTGCCTCTCTTAAATTCACTAAACCAGGTTCCTGGATTTTCCTTTGGCCATGATGAAATTCTCACCTGTTTAAGAAGCACAGAAAACATGGGTGTTAACAGTGAAGACAAGAAAAGAGTGAGAATTAACAGAGTTCTATATAAAACTCTGCCAAATTAATGCCTAGTTCTAATCGTACTGGGAGAGAAATTTATATCCCGTTCTCAAATTATATTTTAAGTAACCAGATGCATTAACTGATTTTTACAAAAAGAATCAATTATAATAAAGTTTACATATCAAGTCGTCATACTGTAGAGAATGAATGTTACCCACACCAGAAACCACAAAATCAGTTTAAATTAACAGATTACAAGAGTAAAGAAATACATTCTCCTTATAGTTTAATAGCCACTAAACCTGACCTAAAGATATTTCCATATATTATCTCTTCCTAGTGCAGATCTAACTTTTCAGTGCTGCTTCTATTTTGATAAGCTGTGAGTCCCAGCAGAACATATAGATCTTTAACACTGTCTAGCTAATCTTTTTTCTGAGGTACTTTTCCCTACTTCTAGGCTCTTGTACAAAGCAGTCTAGCTGCTGTAATTATATGTAGTGCCATCATCCACTGATTACTTGAGATCAATGTAACTCACATACAACAGACGAGAAGCTCCTGAGACTTTCACTGGCAAGATTTCCTGTTTTTCTTTGAGTGGTGATGCCATCACTTTCTCCATCCTTGGTTAGCTGGATCCATATTACTACCTCTCACCTTCCCCACTCCACTCTGTTCTCACTCTCACTTATTTTCCTCTCTCTTTTCCCCTTAATCTCTCTCTGCTCTTAGCTGTCCGAGTGTGTGCAGTTTGTACTTTGTTTTTTTTTTTTGTTGATGGGCTATGTTGGGGAAGAGGGTGGGGGAGAGGGTTACAGGGAGTTCGTTGTTATAATAACTATCTCATGTGGAAAAATTGATAAGAATCTCAATAATAAAAAATATAGTTCCAATTTACAGCTTAAATCAAGTTGAATACCCCATGATAAGATCGAGGTCACCATCCCCCAAAAACACTGAGTATGAGAGCAAAACCATCACATGTGTGCAAAGTCTGCCTCCCTGCAAGACAAACATTCACCACTGGAGTTTTTAATATATCCTTGCTACTCTCACTGGGGAGGGATGCCACTGATGCAATATTTTACAGATTTTTTAGAAAAAGAGGAGCCAGTGGATATAAAAAACCCACACCATAATAATGTGGCTGTCCTGCAGAAATATCATCAAATTTCAACTAAAACAATATTTTCGGGGGGCAGTTCTATGCCCTGGCCTTCCAACAAACTCAACTGTGGTCCCAGCACTGAGGGGAGAGGGCAATGAAGGCAAGGGATTCCTTCTAAAGCAATACCCCAATAAGACACACTTACAACTCAGCTTTTGAAATAAAATTGGCCACAGCTTTATTGGTTACAGCTGTAAGAACCCTTGGCACAGCATGGGGCAACCAGACCCTGGCATCGACAGACCCGCCTACCAGTTGATGAAATTCAGCCCACCCCAGCCTGCCCGCTGGGGTAGGGGGAAGCGTGGGATGACAGGATGCTGGATTCCACCAGGACAACCACCAGGACATGGTCTCCCCAGCCACTTGAGTGTGAGGGTAACCTCTGGCAGCTCTTGTGCTGGGCATGCCCCTTGAAAAGCCTCACTCCAAGATCTCTTAAGGGGATCCTCATACACAGGGAAATGGGCATGCAAGCTGGTTTCCCCACAAATGGATCTGGCTCAATGCTAATACCACCCCCAGGTTGTGATGAAGAAACTGAAGCAAGAAGCCTCTTAACGGGAACATCACTCGTGCATCCTACCGCATCACCTCCCCCCCCCCATGGCAACAGAGCCTTATGCCCTGCATGCACCCTTCCCCAGGGAAGTAACACAAAGAGAGGGATGGATGGGAAAATTCCACATGGCCAGGTGAGTTCCCAGGTGATGTGGTGTTTAAAATCTCCCCCTGGTGGCCACCTCCACAGTCCCTTTCCCATGGCCTAGTTCCTGCCCCGGGAAGGAGGTGGGCCCAAATTTCACACTCATGCCACCACCCAGCCCCTCTGCTGACTGCATGGCCTGGCCCTCATTGCCAGATGCAGCTGGCCAGCTGTGGCTGATGTCGCCTTTGCTGGCTCTCCCCACCCTTGCAGGACTGCAAATGGGACCGGTGGGTGAGTCAGGGTCCCAGCATTGAAAAGTTCTGCCAGGTATCAGTGTCTACTAATCCAAATAACTTTAATTCCTAGAGTTCCTTATGAATAACTGTTAATATGGAAGTGGGTGGTAAGAAATATGGACAAGGATGGGTTTTCAAATGGACATCAGAATGGACATGCAATGCAACGCAACACAATTACCTGAAGATGGACTGCATTCTCAACCTCTGAATGTACATCTAGCATATAATTCCCAATCCAGGAAATAATATGCATATGTAAAACAGTTTATATGTATGGATCTCCTTAGCTGAGCAAAAGCTTATAGTGTGGATAAAACCAATGTAAATCATAGATAGAATGACAAGATTTGGCAATAAGACTGACTGGCTACTCTTTATAAGAGCAGCATTTCATATATGCATGTACAGTATAGATGATTCCACAAAGAGTTAAGTATAAAAACAATAAAAGGCTTCATTTCCCAAGGCTTAGATTGAGCTTTATGCTTGCATTAAAAATGGCTGTGCAGCTGTGGCATGACAATGAAAAATGTAGTTAGAAGCAGGTGCAGCAAGCAAACATCTGCATAAATGAGCATCTGAGTAGAATTGAGGGAGGGGCTAGGATCTTTGTTCATGTTGCATTACATTTTGCTGCCTTATTCAAGTTTATGCAAATAAAATGAAGCAATTATCATGCAAGGAGAGGCGTATGGATGAAAATGTGACAGGGTTTTTCTGTTTTAGTCCCAGTCTTGAAGCATCACAGCAGGAACAGTCAATAGTGAACACAGTAATGCTTGGTACTTACTCCTTCTGATTTCTTATCAGGATAGATGCAAGTTTCTCCACCTGCTGTGAAATTACAGTACACTTTGAACGAGTCTCCAGAACAACCCTGGTTTGGATCAATCCAATATTCTCCTGAAATGAGGAAGAAGAGAATTACTTTGAGGAATCAATCGGACTGACTCTTTTTTTTTTTATTAACAATTTTATTGTTAAAAGTAGAAAACAAGCATTAATGACAAGCTTTAGTATATTGGCAATACAGAATAAAGTGTAGTAACCATTATAATATTTTTAAACCTTATAATAGGAAATATTGCAAGCTTGAAAACCAGATGACTTTCAGAGTGTATGAGAATGTACAGTATAGATGATTCCACAAAGAGTTAAGTATAAAAACAATAAAAGGCTTCATTTCCCAAGGCTTAGATTGAGCTTTATGCTTGCATTAAAAATGGCTGTGCAGCTGTGGCATGACAATGAAAAATGTAGTTAGAAGCAGGTGCAGCAAGCAAACATCTGCATAAATGAGCATCTGAGTAGAATTGAGGGAGGGGCTTGGATCTTTGTTCATGTTGCATTACATTTTGCTTCCTTATTCAAGTTTATGCAAATAAAATGAAGCAATTATCATGCAAGGAGAGGCGTATGGATGAAAATGTGACAGGGTTTTTCTGTTTTAGTCCCAGTCTTGAAGCATCACAGCAGGAACAGTCAATAGTGAACACAGTAATGCTTGGTACTTACTCCTTCTGATTTCTTATCAGGATAGATGCAAGTTTCTCCACCTGCTGTGAAATTACAGTACACTTTGAACGAGTCTCCAGAACAACCCTGGTTTGGATCAATCCAATATTCTCCTGAAATGAGGAAGAAGAGAATTACTTTGAGGAATCAATCGGACTGACTCTTTTTTTTTTTATTAACAATTTTATTGTTAAAAGTAGAAAACAAGCATTAATGACAAGCTTTAGTATATTGGCAATACAGAATAAAGTGTAGTAACCATTATAATATTTTTAAACCTTATAATAGGAAATATTGCAAGCTTGAAAACCAGATGATTTTCAGAGTATACGAGAAAAGTAATTGTTCAGATTAAGCCACGAAGATAATAAATGAGAAATTCAGGATCAAAACAAGAACTAGGATTAAGCATAATGGATGTAGACTAAAAGATTTAGGTGCTCAACATACAAGGAAAAAAAATTAAATCCCCAATACGTAACGACGCTTATGCAAGCAACGTTAATAGCTGTGAATGACCCAACTTTTTGAATCAAGTCCATTTAATATAATCTTTCCAAGTTGGTGAGATAAAATCTTCTGAAGACAGATAATCAAGGATAGGGAACCACTTTGCACCAAAGTTAGACACCAAGGGAAATTGGACTGACTCTTGAGTCTGCTGCCATTTAAATGAGAATGCAAAAACGTTAATAATAAGAGACTTCACGTGCCTTTACAAATTAGAAGATGTTTTCAATCTTTTTCTGTTCTCAAAATATGTCCAAAATTTGTATTAGAAAAAACTGTGGCAATTAAAAAAATTAACCTTATGATAGCATTGCAATGGATTTAGAAGCTCACATAGTATCAGGCCATTATTTGGATGGCCCAGGTTAGCCTGATCTCATCAGAACACAAAACATCAACAAGGTTGGCCCTGGTTAGTACTTGGATGGGAGACCTGCAGAGGCAGGCAATGGCAAAATATCTCTGTTTGTTTCTTGCCTTGAAAAGCATGAAAGAAGCATGAAGATGTTTCCTCATATGGGGAGAAGAGGGACATTGCTTTAACAAAGAGCCTGTTGTGACACAATAGCCACAATCATTGTCTTTCACAGCATCCTAAGATGAGGTTGATAAGTAACAACCAAAAGCTATGAACTATAGATAAATTGGCTGCTATGACATACAAACTCTTATCATTAGGGACGGGCATGAACCAGGAAAGTACGGTTTGGCTCATGATTCTAAGATGAGGTTGATAAGTAACAACCAAAACCTATGAACTATAGATAAATTGGCTGCTTTGAAATACAAACTCTTATCATTAGGGATGGGCATGAACCAGGAAAATACGGTTTGGCTCAGGATTTGTGGTGTGCCCGGGTCATGATCCATGAACCATAATGAATGTTTAGTGTTTGTGATAAAGCAGAATGCCCCCCGGTGTGCTGGGATGGGCATGAACCAGGAAAATACGGTTTGGCTCAGGATTTGTGGTGTGCCCGGGTCATGATCCATGAACCATCATGAATGTTTGGTGTTTGTGATAAAGTAGAATGCCCCCCAGTGTGCTAGAGACACCAAACTCACTGGAGATCTCTGACTAACTCTCCTCTACCTGTCCTCTAAGCTTGGTAAGGATTGGATTTATGGGGTCTGAGTTAGCCCCCCCTCGAAGGTGCCCCCAAGGAAGTGCTTTCCATGGAAATGGCAGGTGCAGGTTCCCTTCATTCAATCATATATGGGAACATCTGCAGTATTTTTCTTTGTGGGTTATTTTGAAATTAACCTTGAAGCAATACTGCTGCACTATAAACCCTTTTTCATATTCCAGCAAATAATATTTTAAACATTTTAAAATATTATTTTTTGTTAAAACACTAAGCCATTTTTGATACACAGAGCCCCTTCTTGTGATGTTTAAGATTCATAAAGGGCTTTAACATTTATATTTTAACCTGTGAAAAAGGTTTTTAACATTTCATTTAGTTTTCTTTAGTGACTACATTAACCATATAACTAGAATAAATGACCTGACATTATTGCTTAGCAAATCACAACTTCAATATATTAGCCTTTGTCATGTAACATTAACATACCATCTGGGAAGTCTGGGTGACAAAGCTGTAGATCCTTGCATGTTCGGGCTGGGTTGTTTTGAGTCCCCATTGGGTATTTCATATGCTCAATATCCTGCTTCAGAGAGTTCAGTGAACCAAAGATCTCTTCCATGCCATCAGTGTAATCGAGGATAGTATCAGCTGCATCTGCTAACATGGCATCTGAAGATCTCCTGGTCTTTTTGGGTGACTGGATTGGCAAAGGTTGAATGACTTCACCTGGAGGGCCCTAGGGATAACAAAACCAATGGCCTTTTATTGTTCTTTTTTAAAGCCACACAAACAGAAACAAACCTTGAGTGGAAAGTTGAAGAGATTCTACAACTATTCTTGTAGGATGAGAAAGAAACTCCAAGGTGACTACATAAACATAGCAAGACATGAAAAATAAAACCACACATTTACAATATGTACATTAAATACATGCGTGTACAAACAGAAATGCCTAAAATTGCCTTGGAAAGATGCCCAGGCTTAGATGAACTTCTAAAAGAAATGAGAACACCAGTAATGTTTTTAAGACCGTGTATATAACATTGATTACCAAAGAAATATTTTTACTTACAGGAGGTCCAGGGGGTCCTGGTAAACCACCATCACCCTTCTGACCACTAGGACCCTGTGAAGTAATACAAGAAACTCCATATTAGCCATGCTAAAAAATCATCACACAACTTATACTGAAGCAACATAATATCAGTAGTGGAAAAGGGAGACTGGAGTTACTTACGGTTGAACCTTTAGAACCTTTTGGACCCTGCGGACCCTAAAAGAAAGATAGCACAAATATGTTATTAGATAATCCCACATTTGTGCATATGTGATAAATATGTCAATGTGGAATGAGATTCATTTGGTGCACCTACTTACAGGTAAACCTGGTGGCCCAGGAGGACCAAAAGGGCCAGCAGGGCCAGGAATTCCCTGGGGGGAAAAGTGTACAAAGTTAATTATTCTGTTCAGTCTCTGTGTTACACATTAAGCAACAAAGGAAAAACAATACTTTACTCCTGGAAAGGATTTTGTAAAAAAAGCTTGCTAACTTAGCTGGGGGCTGCTATAGATATCAAGCAAAATACACAAATGTTATGTAAGAGTGTTTCATCAATTTGGGGAGAACTTTCTGTAATTATCAAAGAAATGTTAAGGTCTGAGTCAAATAGTTTCAAAACTACAGAAAGCTCATAGTTGCTTTGTTGATGGGTACCAGAAAAGAATGAGGAAAAAATCCTCAAAAGAAGAGAGGTTAGAAAGATTTCGTATGTAACGCTGATGAAAAACATAACTGCATGTGTGAGCAGGAGGAATTAGCACAGCCTCTCACTCATTAAAAAATAGCAGCCATTTATGGCTTACTGGAATTGCAATGATCTGGGTATTATCAATAGTTCAATTTAATGAAAGTCATGAGCAACTCCTATAGAGAACAATTCTTTTGCACTTTGTGCTTGAATTTGGGAGAAAAAACAGGTTGCTTACCTGTAACTGATGATCTTCCGAGTGGTCATCTGTGCATCACACCCTGGGATATAGTGCACCTGCACTGACCCCGGTCGGTATTGTAGAAAGCTAAAGGGATTTTCACGCCCGCTCCCCCATCACGTGCTGGGCTCAGTGACTAGGGGAGGGGCACAACTATCCCACCAGTTCCTTCTGACCACTGCCCTCAGTCACAAAGTAAAAGGAAAGAACTGAAAGCAGAGGGGAAAGAGAGAGGATGGTGTGCCTGTCTTCCCACCAAAGGAGAGAGGTTAGGACGTGTCCCGGGAGAGTGAAGCATGGGGACTGAGGTTGGTACTGGGGGTGGAATTTTTGAATGAACCAAAGTTGGAGTGGTCTCATTCAAAGACTGGCAAAGACCACGACCAACGTAGTTACAGCCATGAGCCCCAACAAATGTTGTATATGCCTCACTGAAGCCGTCCTTTGTCTTCTGAGGAGGCCAGTTAGGGTGACTACGTCCTCTGCCCTTTTGGGGGGAAGGAAAGCTCTGCAGAGTGTCAAGTCTAGGATCGCGCCGATGAATTACACCTGAGTGGAAGGGGTGAGCATTGACTTTTTTAGATTTACCCGCAACCCCAGGGTTGATAGGGTGTTGAGGGTTAAAGCAATGTGTTTGAGCAAGATTGTCTCAGTCTCCACAACAACAACCAATCGTCGATGCACAGGAAAATTTGTATGCCCTGCAGCCGAAGGTGGGTCACAATGACCACCATTACCTTGGTGAAAACGCGAGGCACAGTAGAGAGTCCGGAGGCCTTTGTACTGAAAATGGTCATTGCTGACCGCAAAACGGAGGAACATCCTGTGGGATGGATGGATAGACACATGAAAATAGGCGTCCTGCAAGTCCAAGGTTACCATCCAGACTCCCTTCTCTAAAAAGGGGAAGAATAGACTGTAGAGTTGTCATGCAAAATTTCTTGTAAACAATGTATTGGTTCAGGTTTCGGAGATCCTTGATAGGAGGGAGGCCTCCGTCCTTCTTTGGAATGATAAAGTAACGAGAATAGAAACCTAGGCGTTGTTGCGGTACTGGAACCGGTTCTATAGCATCCTTGTAAAGGAGGTTTTTATCTCATCCAGAAGCGGAGGTGATGATGGAGTGAGTATGAAGTGTGAGCTGTTGGGGACTTGCATGAACTCTATGAGGTATCTCTCACGGATCACTGAGAGGACCCACCAATCCGACGTTATCAATGCCAGGCCGACAGGTAAGGGGAAAGGTGAGTGGGACAACAGGGCAATGGATCGGAGTCAAAGGCTCTGTTTGGAGTTTTTCTGGGGCTTAGCCCTAGGTTGTGATGCTGCAAATTTGGTCTTATTCCCATAGGGATGGGAAGAAGTGCCAGGCAACCTCTGCCACTGTGGTTCGGGAGAGGATTTAAACAAAGGCTTGCGAGACCACGATTTATTCCAGGACTTTCCTCTAGATTGCTTGGAAGTCGTCGTGTCTCCCAGATTGCGAGACGTTTTAAGACTTTTGTCAAGATCCTGGAGAACGGAATCAGTTGTAGAGCTGAAGAGCCCATCAGCCTCAAAGGGAAGATCTTCAGTGACTAACTTAGTGTCCTGCTGCAAGGCTGTGGCACGTAGCCAGGCATGGTGATGTAAAGCAACAGCAGAAGTGAGGGTCTTAGATGCCACATCTAAACTGCGTTTTGCTGCATTAAACTGGTGTTTAGCCACTAGCATATCTTCCTTTTGTATGTGTCTAGCTTGGAAGTTGTAGTCCTCAGGGAGGGCCACAAGGAATTCTGACATTTGCTCCCAAAGAGCATACTGGTATCTGCCCATAGAGGCCATGTAATTAGAGGCTTTGGTGTCCAGTGCTTTAGTAGAATAAAATTTCCTGCCAAAAGAGTCCAGCTTCCTGCCTTCTTTGTCAGATGGGATGGAGTGGCTGCGTTTCCCCTTTGATGAGGAGGTGACAATCACTGAATTAGGCTTAGGATGAATAAAAATTCAGCTCCCATTTCCTGTACTTTATATATGTGGTCCATCCTCCTGTTGGAGATGGGAACAGAGGTGGGGTGTGCCCAGGGGGCTTTAGCCATTTGTAAAAGGACAGATGTCATGGATAGGGTGATCGCAGTCAATGTGTCCATCTGGATGATGTCAAAGATGGAGTCAGTAACGACGGGTAGAGGTTGGATAGTCGGAAGTGCTAGTGTGTTTGCCATTCATTTAACAAAGTCCCCATAAGACAACGTCTTCCAATGGAGATATAGGAAGATCGTCCTCCACCTGTTGGGGAGGGGACTGTTCAAGTTTAATGGGAACATCCTCATCACCAGAATGGGAGTTCTCAGAAGAGCCAGAGCACTCTGAAGGATCAGAGAATAGTGCCGGGCGAATCTGTGTCGATTGTATCAGTTCCAACTGGTCCTTGGGCTGCTTTGGTACTGATGGTGTAGGTTTGTTCATCGGTACAGAAAGTTGCAGTTTCACGAACTCCGGTGTTGGAGAAACTTCTCGATATCGAGACAGCCTGGATGAAGCCGACTGTCGATCCCAATCCATGGGTGGTCGCAGGGGAAACTAGGGCATGCCCCCAGGGAACAGGTACACCCCATACAAGTATTGCCACTGGCATCAGTCCCAGGAGGGAGATTGGAGTTGTTCGGGTGATCGATCCTGATTATCAGAGTCCTGCTGGTGTGGGTAAGCCCTATCCACTCCCGAGTGTAGACTCTGGAGACTTGGAGAGCGGGAGATCTGCGTCAGGTCCATGTCATGCTCAGAGTCCGTAAGCTGGATGGGTCGTAGGGAGGGTGAAGAAGGTGCACCCTGTAGCTGCCCATGGCCTGAAGAGTCAAGCCAACCGGCTGCATCTGCCTTCATCCCCGCCGTCCAGCGTTGGGGAGTCAGAGACTTGGCTGAAGAGCCCTTCTTATGCTTCTTGTGCTTGACAGGCTGATCGTATCTGCCCACCTGGGTTTTCTTCATGGGTGTATGGGCTGAGGACTGCGAAGCCAGGATCGAGCGTTTCAGCAGTGAGCGATCGGCATTGGGTGGGCTCAGTGTCAGAGACCGTTCTGGCATTGATCCCGACACCAAGGTCGACATAGAGGCATGTCCCGATGTCTCCTGCGATGGCACCATAGGTGAAAGAGCCCGTTCAAGTAGCACCACATGGAGTCTAACTGCCCGATTCTTCCTCGTTTGCCAGGAGAATTTGGTACAGTGGGCGCAGGAGTCGACTCAGTGCGATTCCCCAAGGCACAATAAATAAAGGGAGTGTCCATCTGGGGGGGGGAAGTGCTAGTGTGTTTGCCATTCGTTTAACAAAGTCCCCATAAGACTTAACGTCTTCCAATGAAGATATAGGAAGATCCTCCTCCACCTGTTGGGGAGGGGACTGTTCAAGTTGAATGGGAACATCCTCATCATCAGAATGGGAGTTCTCAGAAGAGCCAGAGCGCTCTGAAGGATCAGAGAATGGTGTCGGGCGAATCTGTGTCGATTGTATCAGTTCCAACTGGTCCTTGGGCTGCTTTGGTATCGATGGTGTAGGTTTGTTCATCGGTACCGAAAGTTGCAGTTTCGCGAACTCTGGTGTCAGAGAAACTTCTCGATATCGAGACAGCCTGGATGAAACTGACTGTCAATCCCAATCCATGGGTGGTCGCGGGGGAAACTAGGGCATGCCCCCAGGGAACAGGTACACCGCATACAAATATTGCCACTGGCATCGGTTTCAGGAGGGAGGTTGGAGTTGTTTGGGTGAGAAAGATTGGATCCTGATTATCAGAGTCCTGCTGGGGCGGGTAAGCCCTATCCACTCCCTGATCAGAGTGTAGACTCTGGAGACTTGGAGAACGGGAGATCTGCGTCAGGTCCATGTCATGCTCAGAGTCCGTGAGCTGGATGGGTCGTAGGGAGGGTGAAGAAGGTGCACCCTGTAGCTGCCCATGGCCTGAAGAGTCAAGCCAAGCGGCTGCATCTGCCTTCACCCCCGCCGTCCGGCGTTGGGGAGTCAGAGACTTGGCGGAAGAGCTTATGCTTCTTGTGCTTGTCAAGCCGATTGTATCTGCCCACCTGGGTTTTCTTCATGGGTGTATGGGCTGAGGACTGCAAAGCCAGGATCGAGCGTTTCAGCACCGAGCAATCGGCATTGGGTGGGCTCAGCGTCGGAGACCATTCCTGCATTGACCCCGACACCGAGGTTGACATAGAGGCATGTCCCGATGACTCCTGTGATGGCGCCATAGGTGAAAGAGCCCATTGAAGTAGCACCACACGGAGTCTAGCTGCCCGATTCTTCCTCGTTTGCCGGGAGAATTTGGTACAGTGGGCGCAGGAGTTGACTCAGTGCGATTCCCCAAGGCACAATAAATAAAGGGAGTGTCTGTCGGGGGGGGGGGCAAGCTTACTGCTGAACTCCCAGCACCGCCGAAAGAAACCCCACCATTTGGCCATAGGCCAGAAAAGAGGGGGGTAGAGAAAAAATGTCTGCCGAAGCAGACAGTCGAAGAAAGAAATTCCTAACTAAAACTACAACAAAAAACTAGCTAACTACACATTTTAGAAAGGGAGAGAAGGAGGCCGAAGCCAAAGTCCTTTTTACCGACCGAGGTGTAGAAGGTCCTACCAGCGCGGTGGTCAGAAGAAAACTGGTGAGATAGTCGTGGCCCTCCCCTAGTCATGTGCACTGAGCCTGGCACGTGATGGGTGAGCGGGTGTGAAAATCCCTTTAGCTTTCTACAACACCGATCGGGGTTGGTGCAGGCGCACTATATCCCAGAGTGTGATGCACAGAGACCACGAAGAAGATTAATTGCTTTTCTCCGTGTTGTTGTGATTTCTTTTATACGGTTTTGTAATTTTTGCATAGTTTTTTATTTAAAAAAATCCAAAACAAGATAAGAAAGAATCTACTCAACTGAGTTCTCCTGTACAAACTGCATAAACGTAAGGCAGCTGTCCTAGTACATTTTGTATCTTACATGGACTTGTATTTTTAAGTAATTCACTATAAAACTTTATAGATAGGTAGACTGAATGGTGGCCCTACTTGTGTCTTTTCAGATGGTAGTTCTTTCAAGCTGAACAGTTTCAAAAAACAAAAACAAACAACTCCCCTCCAAGTTCTAAGTAGGCTACGGAAGGTGAAAAATGAATACATATATATGAAACAATATATTAGGAAAAGATGAGAAAGATTGGAGGAATATTTTTTTTTAACTCACTGCATCTCCTTTTGTTCCAGGGGTTCCCTGGGTGCCGGGAAGACCCCTGTCACCCTTTTCCCCCTGTTCTCCTGGAGGTCCAATCAGGCCAATCAAACCAGGATGTCCCTAAAAATATATAAAACATTAAGAGTGAAATAATACATCTGAAAGCACATCGAGTAAAATAATTATTACCTTGTGAAAGAATGTAGTATGAAGCTGTTATTGCAAAGTCTTCATATGCTAAGCAGTATATTTTTTGCTTACCTTTTCACCTTTGGATCCTGGGTCACCTTTTAGTCCAGGCAAGCCAGGTGGACCCTAGAAATGTCAAAGAAAATGTTGTTAAATGAATACAAGACTGCCTTTTGTAGTTCATGATATTTACCTGAAGGGTTGTTTTATTTTTTTTGAGATGCAGACAGAATCACATTCTGAAGCATTCAATAGACGATGTCAGGCCATGCATCAAAGGGCAAAAGGTGACCTTTAAAAACGTGCCCTTACAATGTGCTTATCACAGGAGGTCATTGCACTAATGGCATGCATGATTTTGACCCCACCTTAAAGGGCATCTGAAATCTTCCCGGAGCAATGAGAAGGCTTACTAATGTATGAGCCATTTAAATGAGTATTCTGATACATTCTTGGGATTTTAACTTTATTTTGCTTATGTTTTATTTAAAGAGCACTAGCAACACAAACAGGCTTTCATGTGTGGTTCATCCTTCTAGGTAAAACAAAACCATAAGGGCAATAAATGGCATATGATCAATAATACTATCTCTGCCACTGCCCCTCCCTGCTACCCACCAAACTGGTGATCCTCTGACAGTCCTAATCACATGTTTGTTGAAAGAAAAGGAGATCTTTCAATATACAGACAAGGATCTTGGGATCATAGTTTATGTCTTTTCCCCTTTTTGATGAATTTGGAGTAATCTAAGGGTGTTTTTTTTGGGGGGGGTCTTCTTCAAGTAAAATTGCTGGAGACCAAAGGGGAAGCTAAATGAAAAACAAAGCAAAAATATGGCCTTTATAGTTCTGCCTTGATCCAGTTCCTTCAGCAACATAGAGTAGTTAAGTCTAGAACCCCAAACAGGTTCTGATTTATACAGGAAAACATTCTCTCTCACGATTCTCACAACCAATATAAATGTTTGGAGCATATTCTAATGACAGACCTTCCACAGAATTTTCTTGGCACCTCTCCTTGATAAATTTTCATGACATATTCCTTACAAGCATATAAGGGAAGTGTGTTAGTTAGACATTTAATCATTAGGGGAGAAAGCTCATACATCTATTTAAGAACAGTTGGACTGAGGTTATTCTAATGACAATTAGAAGGGAAATATTAGGACAGGGGAGATAATATATGAAGATTTCATCATTACTGGCTGATTGTTCTAGTTAAGTAATTTCTTAGTTTTATTCCCTACAACTAGGGTTGGAAAAAAATTCATCTACAAGTTTGATAAATCTATTCAAATTTTCAGGAAGGATATTGCTGATATTATTTAATTTGTACAACATTATGTGGGGAAAAAACTATACTGGCAAACGATTGGTTGGGAAAGTTCCATTTATTAACATGTATTAATTACTCTTTCCACATGAACTTGTAAATGTTTAAAGGGTCCTAATGGAGAGGGTCCATTTTATATCAACATAGTAAGCACCGCAGATACAGGATGCTCCAAAAACAGAGCCACAACTGCCTGTAGATCTCTGGTATTGACAGTGCACTGTACCATCAATCACATGTCATGCCCAAGACCTGGAGTCATAAGGATATGTCTGGTTTGCACGAGGTCTTGCTGTATATTTGCAAACACCTCCAGTCTGGCTTGATGAGATACAATGATGCTACTTTGCCATGTGATACAATGGATGCTTCTATGCATATATGGGGAATGGCAAGCCTCAGTATGGCTCCAGTACTTACCAGAGCCTGTCAGACCTTTTGCTGCATTCTGTTAAGTTCTGGGATCAGTTTGTACCCAATTTCATTCCAAGAACAATAACAAAAATCAAGCAGACATGTCCATTAGGCTTTAATCTGATAGCATCCTTAATACAGGGTATATAATTTAAGAACTCTTTTTTAAAAAAATAAATCCCACAAAGAAATGTACTCACCATAGGACCGGGTGGGCCATCTTGACCGGGTGTTCCAGGTAGACCTTGTTCACCCTACGAGGAAGACACAATTTAGAATTCTTTTGTAAGAGCACATTATGGAAAACATGAAGAAAGCAATTAAAAATGTCACAGTCACCACAGGCCACAACTCACCACAGGTCCAGGAATACCCCGAAGTCCCTCTGGGCCCGGTTTCCCTGCAGGACCCTGAGGTCCAACTGGGCCTGTTTTTCCTGGAGCACCTTCTGCACCAGGTTCACCCTGTAGAAATATACCAGGTGAACAAAGTTACATTAATTGATTATCTAAGTGTAGGAATAAAGATAAAGAGAGTGAGAGAATAAGACATTCCTTGTGTTCAGGCTAAGAATTCAGCACTCCAAAGTCCAAGACCTTACGGGTGTGAAGACTGAGGAAGCTTGTCATTGCTTCTGGTGGTTTGACGCATTGGTCAGTTTCTATGTGTGTTTAGAGCAAAGAAGTGAAGTGTGAATTTAACTGGTCTATTTTCAGTAAGAATCATCTCTCCTACAGTGATAGGGCTGTAAACTCTATTTTTCATGATCTATCTGGTAAATGTAAAAAAATGCTGTGTGTCTACGTGGTTCTGCCACCTTAATTTTCTTCTAGCATGATTAGCTCTAGACCTAGGTCACCAACAAAACTATCTATTTTTATTTTGTTGTTACGGCCAATTCACAGAGACTTGTTTCTCATGTGATAATGCCAAATATGGCATAGCGTTCAATGCAGATGCAGTGGACATAGCTCATGTAGACACACTGACAAAGCAATGTGGCTGCATGATAAATCACTCATGTCATAATTCAACCAAATCACTACCTTTAGTGCATTCCATTATCCTTCATTTAGGATGTTAAAGATCAGAGAAGAAGAGACAAAAAGATGACATCTCTACAGCTGGCACCAACCACAAAATCTCAGAAACAATAAGCTTATTTCTGTAGCATGAAAAACAAGTTTACCTTTGCACCTTTTTCTCCTTGCCTTCCTTCTGCCCCAGCTGCTCCTGGAGGTCCCTGTCAGAAAGGGAAGAAAATGATGCGAATGAGAAAAGCGCTTGCTCACACATTCCTTCTAGCCATGGCTGACTGTCAAGTACCTATCAATAAGACAGTAAAACAGAGCAGTCATAGACATGGCAGGATTTTCTACTTACTCAGAGGGCTCCATAGGTATGAAAAAACCCTTAGATAATTAAAAAGACATCACACACACCCCAGCACACATACACCATAGTCTGATGAACACACTTAGAGGACTGTAAGAAACAAGGAATACTGAGGAGAGTTGACAGGCAGTTGAAGGAGGAGAAGGAAAACAAAGCAGGATGAGGAAAGTCCCTCAAGTCCCTAAAGTATCCTGGAGCAGCAGGATTTGTGTCAAAAACATTTCCCAATTGCTTCCTCTTTCCTTGATTCTTCAAAGGCTCCCCTATACCATCATATATATTTCTATAATAATATTCATTTTGATAACATAAAAGGCAGCAGAGTGTACAAATTAGCTCCTCAAAAGACCAACAAACCAAAGGCTCATTGGAAAAGAAATAAGTTCTGAGAACTGTGCCTGATGGGCAGCTGTGGAGTAGAATTCGATGGGTATGGTACAACCATAGGGAATGACCTACTTAAGGCAGATTTTCTCCAGTACACACACACACACACACACACACACACATTGCATTGTGTTGAAGGTCTGATCCCAGAGCCAAGACTTCAGGTGTGTGTGAGAGAAAATAGATTTATACCCTGTCCTTCACTCAGAGTCTCAGAGTGGCTTACAATCTCCTTCCCTTCCTCTCCCCACAACAGACACCCTGTGAGGTAGGTGGGGCTGAGAGAGCTCTCTGAGAATGTCTCTTGAAAGAACAGCTCAGAGAGAACTGTGGCTGACCAAAGGTCACCCAGCTGGGCTGCATGTGGAGGAGTGAGGAATCAAACCTGGTTCTCCAGATTAGAGTCCGCCACTCTGGACTGTGTTTTATATGACTGATCATCAGTGTAGCTGAACCTTGCACTCTCCACTCTCTTCTTCCTCCTTCTGAACTGATGATCAGTAGTACTGAGAATGCTTCAAGGTCGAGCTACAGCAAATAAAATTGTTGTCAAAAGAAATATAGTTAATCTGCAGTCTACATAATAATATAATTAAAAACATAGGGCCTGAATATCAGGCTACATTAAGAGTAATCAAGAATAAGATTTACTTAATCTGTTATAATATCCTATACAAAGTTGATGATAAATATCAAATGACCAACACAAGACCATACGTGTTTCAGCCTCAAAGGCCTTCTTCATTGGTAGGGTTGCCAGGTCCCCTTGCTATGCTGGCAGGGGGATTTGGGGATCCTTCCAGGACATCACTGATGTGATGATGTCACCTGGAAGTGACGTCATCATGTTGGCCACATCGCATAGTGACACTGGTTTAAGGGCAAAACCTATGATTTTAAGCCAAATTTACCATAGAGTTTTGCCCTCAAACCAGAGCATCACATGCTTCATCCTGGACATGATGATGTAACTTCTGGGTGACATCATCACGTCGGGGACATTGCACCTGTTTGGGGGCGGGGTTTCCCCCACTGACCAGCTGGCCTGAGGTAGGCAGAAGCTCTGAAAAGTGGGGGAACCCCAGCTGGGACCTAGGGACTGGCAACCCTATTCAGTGGTTAATAGTATACAACATAGTTCTCAGAAATACATCTGGAAAATAAACAATATAAATCAATCCTGAAAAATAAACAATATAAATCAATACCAGATTATAATATCAATGGAAGATTTGTGTGTGAGTATAGTTACTGTGTGAAAGGATCCATAGTTTGCTTTATAAGCTAACATCAAACCACATGATATATGAGACAACATCACCAATGTTCCCTCTAAGCTGCAGAGCCTTGTGAGCAAAAATGCTACTTTGTGAGCTACCAGCATTAAAGTTCTGAGCGGGTGATTTGACTACTGCATAAATTAGTTTGCTCTGGAGCCCATCCTTCCTGAGCAAACACAAAAATGTGTGAGCCAGAGGCTAAAACCCTGTGAGCTACCTCACACTAGCTCAGCTTAGGGGGAACACTGAACATCACCTGGTCAGGGTTGATTTATATTGTTTATTTTCCATATGTGTTTCTGAGAACTATGTTGTATACTACTGACCACTGTGTTGGTCATTTGATATTTATCATCAGCTTTGTACAGGAATTTACAACACCTTATGTAAATCTTATTCTTGATGACTCTTAACTTAGAGTGAATTAATTAAGAACCCTTGAAGCATTCACAGTACATTTCAGTTGAATTAGTGTCCCCCTTTGTTTGATGAGTAGTATTGACCACTGTCTGACCTGGACTTTGTATATCCAACCTTGGCTTCTGAGTCAAACTATTAAGCACGAGGACATGTGTGCAGAGGGAAGGAAAGTGAGGGAGAGTGCTCCTTTCCTTAGGCCAAGTAGCCACCGGGCCCCCGCCTGCTTAGACTATGCAGCAGAGGGAAGGAGAGACAGCAAGGTCTGTTTCCACCAATTTGCATTAGCTGCCTTGAGTCCTCCCCCCCTTTTTTTAAAAAGGCAGGATATGAACAGCATACATTAATTTCTGTACACATTTCCACTTATTTGATCAAAGCAACTATCAGCACTGCAAATGCAAATTATAGCAAGTGGATCCATCTATCAGCAAGAAGTCAAATAGCGATGGAGTTTCTTGGCGATGAACTGATCTATTGTGCTGCACACTTTCTGTGTGGAACAGCTCTTTCCACACACAATGAGCTTAAAAATATACAAACAAATATAAAAGGTCTCCAGATTACATGCAAAATGAAAAGAACATCTCCCCAAATGAAGAGGAGAAAATCTGTTCATCATGGTCAGATATAATACACACACAAGTGCCTTTGTGAACAAATAAAACACCATTAACACAAGATACTCCATGGCTTTTCCTCTACAGATATCTTCAGATATCCTCTACAGATAGTGCAGGAAAGCACAGTATTATCTATTATTGTGAGTAAACTTATGTCTGTGTTGACTACAATGAGATTTTGGAAGCTCTAAATTCTCTTCTTTAATATATGCATCTATTTGATTAGACAGAATGTCAGTCTAGAAATTGCTGCATTCCAGTTCTCAAAGACAGTTAAAGAATGGTTTTATTCCACTGTTTTCATGATACACATATTTTGGCAAAGCAGATGAGACTCAAAGCCAATGGCTCATTATTTAATTAGCAGCTGTGCCAGCACTTTTCATCCATAATCTTTTTGAAGGGTTAAATTGAGGCCTTAACCAAGAAAGCCACAGAACACACTATCTGAATTTGGCAATAGGCCCTTCTTAAAGTGAAATGTACTCTTGTACACGTTATGTCTAAAGCCTTATTCACGTAATTCAAAAGTGATCAATATGATGCAAACACAAATAAAAAGGTCAAATGATAAAACCACTAAAGGCCTTCCAGAAGAGAACACATTTTAATAGCTTCTGGAAAACCAAAAGCGAAGAGGTCTGGTAAATTTCTTAAGATAGTGATCTCCACAGAATGGAGATTACAACAACAAAAAAAAGCCCTACTCCATATATCTTTCATCCTAGATTTTTTCGTGGATGGCACACGGAGCAGGGTTTTACTCTTAAACCAGCTGTTCTGTTGCTGCCATCAAGTCTCCATATTTATTTGCCTTTTTTCTTTTCTCTTCCATATCAAGATCCATCATCAGCTCATCCTTGTCTCTTGTACCCATGCGAGACCCAGGAAGTGTGGTTTTATACTATTTTCGACACAAAAGCTGAGAACCAGCAAAAGGGGGCAAAGTACACACAGATTGATTCAAACAAAACTCACCAGAAATACAAGAACAGTCCAGAAATAAAGAGATGCACTGAAGCACCGAGGTTTTAAAACTCTTAATCAGAACTTCCTCGCAAATTAGTTAGCATATATTTTACACAAGATTCTTATTGCATCAACATTCCTTTTAAACTAAAAACTAGTTATTTCAGTCCTTTTAGGTTTCCTTTTCATATGATTTGAAACAGGATAGTTTGGGACTACCTGCTGTTTTTCAGTTTTCGCTTAGGTAATCTAGATTGCCTAGGTAATCTAGACTGTCTCCTTCCATATCCTTGCTTGATTAAGAAGCCTTCCCCTTCTTAAATGGTACACACTGTTGGAATATTTGAATTTCATTACAGGCATTCCAGTATTCAATGCTATTTTGTGTAGTGTCCTTGTTATTATTTTACAACAACAAAGGCACAGCACACAGTAAAAAGTGACACAAAACTAGCAAAACAAGCAAAAACAACTGTGTGCTATATTTCCTGCAACATATTCATAAAGGAGACTTCATTTAAAGTGTAATATATTTATTATATGAAGTCAATATGCCCATACAATCCATCATAGGAAAATACAGAGGCCAAAGAGTAAATATACAAAATTATAGAGAGAGAGAGTCCAACACTTTTCCCAGGTAATTTTTCAGTGTTTCAGACCTCTGTTCCTTCCTCAGGAGCAAAGAACCACTGCTGAGAATCCCTTTTCAGTTCCCTACAAGGTAATGTTTTTCTATTATTTCTATTATTGTTGAACAAGGTCTCCCTAGCTCTAAACAGCACCTTTATAGGCATACTGACGTAATATATCTATTACATTATATCATAAAGCTGTCTCTATGAATATGTTGTGGGAAATATAGCACACAGTTGTTTTGCTTGTTTTGCTTGTTTTGCTGGTTTTGTGTCACTTGTTATTATTTTGACTGTTTGGGTGTGTTCAATTCACCCCAATACTCTGTTGCTGTTCAATATATTATATATTTATTAAGGAGATTTTATACCGCTTCTCCTGAGTCCTGAAGCACTGGATTTAAGTTCTCTGATCTCTTTCCACTTGATTAAGGACTCCACACATTGTCATAGATCCTCAAATTGTAGTGTGATGGTCTTTGTTCAGATTTAAACACGTCTTTCTCTAGTCAGGCGCTAATATTTAAGCCAGAAGTT